ATATTAAATTTATTATTTAGATCTAAAACCATAGCTGTGTAATTAATTAAGTTTTTTAATAATGTATTTATTTAAGAATTTATATAAATACAAAATTATATTTTTATTAACCAGTTTTATTTAGTTAATAATTTTTTGTTAAAAGTTTTTAAAAAAATTAATTTTAAATACTAATAAAATTTTGTGTTTTCACATACCTTGTTTAATTTCTGTATCATTTAGTTCGTTAGCAATCAATGATCCTTTTACTGGAAATATTACCAAGGACCCAGCCTCAAAAGTGAATAAAAGGGCCAAAATTTTAATTTTCATATTTGATGATTTACAAAATAGCTATCATTATAGATATACTGTTGGAAACAGATTTTTTAAATTATAATATATTTAAAAATGGAACATTTTTAATTATTAAGTTTAACCATGGGCAATACTGGAAATGTAACTACCTGTGCATTGCGAAATACACCCGCATTGTGTAAGCCCTGGTGCGAATAGCGTTGCCAGACGTCCTCCATTCATGAGAACAGTCCTCCAATGGACCCCCAAATGGCACAGTTCTCCAGAGGGGTTGTGGAGGACAATGTAATGTCCTCAAATAAATTTTAATTTTCTCGTCAACCTTTGACATAATCTTTATAATAAATACCTGTATTCTCCAAATCCTAATTCAAAAGTTATGAATAAGTTCATTTCATTACACTATTAAAGCTAGAAATTATAATTTATCAGAAATATTATGGAGGATTTGATTATGAATAATCGTGATCACTGATCACATATTGTATAAATCTTTTACTTATAAATGCTCTGGATAGTGCTAAGTATTCAGTTTCCGGTATACTCAAATAGAGTTGAACTTATTTTTAAACAAGATTTTCTAATTAAATAATTTTCATTAGAAAGTAAAAAGTTTAATGTTTATACAAGTACTAACATAAACAAGTGCATAATTTGAATTTACATAGGTCGTAAACCCTTGTTTTATAAATCAACTTATTCAATAAATTGTGATTATTTTATTGATCATTTATAAACAATAACATAATATTGGCATAAATAATATTTAAATCTATAATTAATACTACAATGCGATTATATATTTTAAAACAAGGCGGATAACTGAAGTTAATACACAATATATACAATTGAATGTTTAAATCACTGCAATCGCTGTAATCTCCGTCTCATTCATGGTTTCTGTTTGATTTTCTTTATGTTGTTTTGTATTCACTTTGGATTCAAATATATATTTCGACACAACTTTCTGTAGACCAATTAATGGCAATTCAAAGCATAGGGCCAACGGAATGATTACTATAAAGTTAATGACTGTCCAAATAAATCTGTACATTAATACTAATAATGCTGTTTTATAATTGAGTTGAAAACTGGGGAATATATCCATCAAATAGTAGCCCACAATGGGATGAAGTAAGTATGAAGTTTGCTGTACATTACGGATTGGTTTCAAGTATTTCGACGACAAATGTCTGTTTAAAAAGCTAAATATTTGACCCCTTTTCTCAATTATACCAATCAGTATAAAGGATGAGATTATGGACGACACGATTGCCGTCAAACTGTTTTCTATGGCTGAGAGCACAGGGAGGTCATCGAAATATGGCGTTTCTCTCATTAACATTATTGATTGAGATATAAACATATAAATTATGGTTATTATACATGTTTTGCGGAAAATATGATTTGTATATATTTTGGTGATATACTTGTATTCAATCAAATAACCCAATAGTAAGCCATTTAAATACGCGATACTATATCGGTATATCGTAATGTGAAATTCATGGAAAGTGGTGTTTGGGTAACTATACCAAAATAAATAAACAATTTTCAATGAGTTTAGGTATTATTTTATAAAGCTGATTAACTTACATAAAGAAATTGAAAAATAATTTAGGGAAATATATGTTTGTGTTAATGGTTTCGGTGGTTATGCCATTTGAATATGTGATATAAAATGTGGACACAATCGCCACGATATTACCGATAATTATGCCAACGATTCCTTGCCTCATATTTCTATAAACAAAATTATAACTTATTTATTTTGATAATATTAAATTATGTAAATTATTAAAATATTTACCGTATTAATAATAAGACAAATAGTGGTGTAATTAATACTAATTGTATTAATACACAATATGTCCATACATGAACCATACACTAGTAATAAATAAATCAAATTAATTTACAGTAATATTTATATTTAAATGTACCATTTGTGTGCTTTTGATTTGATTGCCGACAAAAAATATATTATAAACCCATTTCTCATCGCACACTTCAACCACTCGTTTGTCATAAAAGCGATCGGAAACGAAATATTTGGCATAAATTATGTAGAAATAGAGTGACATATAGTATACGGGAATCACACGGAATATTCTGTCGAAATAAAACCGCAAACATATTCTCCACAAACTTTTTGAACGGTTTTTGTTCACTT